CATTTTAATACATTGTTTAATTATTATATTGTTGTTTTATCCAGTTTTGTTGTATTTTGACACTCCTGTTATTCAGCAATGTTTAAACTTTACAGTAATTTTACATTTTAAAAAAGATTGCAAAGATTATAGTTCATTTGATACTGATTCTTTAATAGTCATTTATAAGGGATTTATAAAGCATGAATAGTCCTCACTTTAGATTAGGTCAAAAAAATGCTTAAAGTTGAGTTAATAACGCATTTACTAACATATTAGTTGACTATTAGTATATGCCTGAATAATAAGACATATAAACATTAAAATTATTAGTTTATTAATCATTTACTAACTCATGCTGAATGATCCTAAAAACCCTCAACTACTCTTAAATACAACTGGTTTGTAAATAATGCGATACTTACAGTAATTTAGTAATGAAAAATAAATCATTTACTAAGTATGAAAATACAATTATTAAGCACATTTTAAATATGGTTATAAGTCAAGAATAGAGCATTTGTAGCAGCAGTTATAAACTGCTTACTAACGTTTATTAACGTAGAGTTAATGCTGAACAGATAATGAATTCACTATTTGCTAATGCTTAATAAATGATTTATAGTGTGTAGTTATTATAAAGTGTCACCTAAAACTAAATATTTGGACTACAGACTGTCCAGGTCTATAAATACATGGAGGACTTTTAAACAAATATAATAATAATAATAATAATAATAATAATAATAATAATAATCAATCGCCTCACAGCAAGAAGGTCCCTGGTTTGAGCCTCGGCTGGGACAGTTGGTGGTTCAGTTTGCATGTTCGCCCTGCGTTTCCTCTGGGTGCTCCGGTTTCCCCCACAGTCCAAAGACATGCGGTACAGATGAATTGGGTAGGCTAAATTGTCCGTAGTGTATGACTGTGAATGAGTGTGTATGGATGTCATCCAGAGATAGGTTGCAACTGGAAGGGCATCCGCTGCCTGAAACATGCTGGATAAGTTGGAGGTTCATTCCGCTGTGGCGACCCCAGATAAATAAAAGGACTAAGGCGAAAAGAATGAATGAATGAATAATAATAATAATAATAATAATAATAATAATAATAATAATAATAATTCCTAACATTTATATAGCGCTTTTCTGGACACTCAAATCGCTTTACACATTTTTGGGGGAATTTCCTCATCCACCACCAGTGTGCAGTATCCACCTGGATAAAAGCAGCTAATTGGTGGAGAGGAGACAGAATGATGTAGCCAATTATGATATAGTGATGGTTAGGAAGCCATGATGGACAGAGGCCAGTGGGCAAATTGGCAAGGATGCCAGGACATCCTGGCATTTTTAACAACCGCAGAGAGCGAGGACCTCTGTTTCATGTCTCATCCGAAAGACAGCGATCATTGAGCAGTAAAGAGTCCCATTTGATTGTTCAATTACTGTTTACCTGAATACTGTTAGACTCCTTGAAAAACAATGAACCGCTGTTTATTTAGTTGATCTTTTTATTCATTGGATTTCTCTATGCTTGAAGATTGTTTATTATATTTTATACAAATTCACTCCTCTACAAAATCATAATTGCAATGTACGATTTCTCAATAACGCACAGCCCTACCACTTGTCGACTGATGTTTTAATTGTTTTGTGACAAATTTAAAGGTGCAGTAGGTGATCTGCCAGAATGCTAGCATTAGCATTGCAGCTTTGAAAATATACATCCCTCCCCTGCCGTCCAAAGCGTGCACCAAACAGATGACGATACACAACCTTATGTAACACTATCATGTCATTCACCAGTTAGAAAACTCCACAGAGACATGCACTTTGTCCAGCGTAGTTGTTGACAGGCCAGTGGGTGCAGGAATTATATTTCCCCAAAACTGACATTGGGGTTCTATATCCGCACATTCAGACTTTCTGCTTAATAATATAATTTCAGAAAAGTATTGTTTGCAATTTCTAAATAGTGAAATCATATTATCAGCCAATGACAACACTGTAAAACCCGATTGCTACTATCCATTTCAATGTAAAAATTAATTTATATGAGTACTGTGAACTTCATTTAAGTTGAATGAATGAGGTATTTAATTAACTCATTGCCTTCAACACTGAGTTGAATTAACTTTCAGTACATTAAACTACAAAATTAACTTCACTCCTTTCATTTGATAAAGTTAACTGTTGGGTTTTACAGTGTATACAATACAACATTGTTCACAGTCAGTTAAACAGTGCTAATGTTGGTTTGACATTTTTTAATTGGACGAACATTTTTTAGTCCTATGCCTTACCCAGATTATAAAAATACATATAAATACATTTAGATGATTTACTTTAATCATTACTATCGGTATGTGAAGAGACCTTTAACTACACTGTAAACTCCAACAGTCAACTCTATCAAATGAAATGAGTGTAGTTAACTCAAAATTTACTGAAAGGTAATTCTACTCGTTTCAAAAGAGCTTTGAACTCACAGTTGAAGGTACCTCATTGCTTTAACTTAAATGGAGTAAGTTCACGATACTCATATACATTCGTTTTTTAACTCAAATTGTTTGTGGCAGTCGGGTTTCTCAAATGGTTTGAGTTGACATAACTTATTGGGCTTTACAGTACTCAGTTGGTTTGAGTTCTCTTTATTTATTATGATTTACTGTGCTCAAATTGGAATCAAATGGATTACAGTACTCATTAGGATTAGTTTTTGAACTTAAATGGTTTGTTGCAATCCGTTTCCTCAAATGGTTTGAGTTACCTTAACTTTTTGGGTTTAACAGTGTAGCACAACAAAAAAAACATTTCTGAAGGCAATCACCTACTGCACCTTTAATCTGTTAAATATTTTTCTAGATTAAAACAACACAACACCCACTGTAAAACAATTCCTTCATGTTGTCCCAACACAAACTGAATAAGTTAACTGTTCATACAAATTTAAGTGAATAGAACAATTAAGATGCCCAAAAAACGTAAGAATTATGTTGTTTCAGCTCATTTTAAATGCATAGTTTAAACAAGCAACAGAAGTCTCTCTTCACTGTAAAAACTGATTAGTTACTTAAAGCGAGTAAACTATTATGCTAATTGTACTCACTTTTTTAAGTCAACTAATTCCTTTTTTTCACAGTGTTTTCAAATAATTACTGTAATTATAACAATATTACATACAGTTAAAGTCAGAATTATTAGCCCCCTGAATTAATAGATGGCTTGTTTATTTTTCCCCGAATTTCTGTTTAACAGAGAGCAGATTTTTTCAACACATTTCTAAATATAATAGTTTTAATAACTCATGTCTAATAACTGATTTCTTTTATCTTTGTCATGATGACAGTAAATAATATTTGACTAGATATTTTTCAAGACACTTCTATACAGCTTAAAGTGACATTTAAAGGCTTAGGTTAACTAGGCGGGTATAGCCTAATTAGGCAAGTTATTGAATAATGACGGTTTGTTCTGTAGATTATCGAGAAAAAAATGTAGCTTAAAGGGGCTAATAATTTTGTCCCTAAAATGGTGTTTAAAAAAGTAAAAACTGCTTTTATTTTAGCTGAAATAAAACATAAGGCATTTTCCAGAAGAAAAATTATTATCAGACATACTGTGAACAAGTCCTTGCTCTGTTAAGCATCATATGGAAAATATTTTAAAAAGAAGAAAAAAATTTGAAGGGGGCTAATTATTCTGACTTTAACTATCTTTGGTGCTTCATTAAGTCTATAAAATCTACAATTATATCCTGTAAAGAATTTAGAAGACACATTGGAGTCTGGAAGAGCAGATTTATTTTAGTTACTGTCATTCTGCTAGATATAGAAAAGCTGGAAAAAAAAAACAAATATAAAAAATGTGTATTGGAAAATGTGATTAGTTTACTTTGATTTTTTTAAAGTGAATACAATTTGCATAATAATAATAATTAAGTCAACTTAAAAGTTCCAAGTTACAATGGGTTTACTTGCATTATTTTATAAAGTCAACTTGTTTCTTTTAGGGCAATTGATTTACTCACTTTAAATAACTAATCACTTTTTACAGTGTGTACAATGTAAAAAAAAAAAAAAGCAGGGTTCCACAATTCCTTAATTTTGTCCCAACACAAATAAAATGTTTTTACGAATTTAAGTTGATTGAACAAAAAACAATTAAGTTGTCCCCTAAAAACTCTCAAGAATTGTTGGTTCAAGTATTTTGAACAAGCAGCTAAAAACTGAGTGAATTTTCATCCACAAAATTCCACAAAAAAAGGCTAAAATAGATCAATAGCTTCTATTACATACTGAATATCAGAATATAAACACATCTGATGAGAATTAGAACAGTTTTCAAGGGCCTCTAACACACACACACACACACACACACACACACGCACACACACACACACACACACACACACACACACAAAATCCTTGATGTCTTTTCCAGACTTCTGGCTCGATTTCATTTTAAGGCATTCAAGTGGGGCACCTAAGCCATGTGACTCATTACATTCTACACATCAGCGAGAAGCGGCTCTGCCCCTTTAACAGCCCGACAGCAAATGAAGCTTTACAATTTGACCAGCGCGATAACACCCTACGCAATTTCCACCATAAAGACGTCAGGTATAAATCCTACAATGAATAGAAAGTCACATCCCACGAACCCAATTGAACAAAAAAAATGAATGAGAGACGCGCTGTTCTTTCGGCAACAGCCGTTCTCCTAACGCACCGGAATATGAGTGAATTTGTTCAATGGGAATGTGTGCTATTAAAACACACAGAACACACACACACAAAGCCTCAGATGAGCATTTCCCAAAAGCACACCCACGGACATCGGTGGGCTGCATCTTAAAAAAAAAAAAATCCTGGTACACCGAGTCTCGCAGGCCCTGTATGTGCAGCACAGCTGAGCCACACACACACACACAAACGCACACACACACACACGCACAGCCAGTGGGAAAAGACTATATATAGCAGTAGTCAATTCTAATCGCGAGAAAAAATAACTCACCGCCTCCGAGTCTTCAAATCCATGCAGGTACAAATTGTCATACATGGAGGTTTGCTATTCCAAAGAGGTCCTCTTGAAGAATAGAGAAAAAAAAGAGAGAGAGAGGAGGTGGTGGAGATGGAGAGAGGGGGGGAGGAGGAGGAGGAGGAAGAGGAGGAGGGAGCCACCACCACACACACAAAAAAGAGAGAGAATCGATGGGGGGATGACGATCCCCTTGCTCCACGGAGGAAGAACAAGGAGGGAAAAAAGGGTGAGAGATGCCTCACGAGAGAAAGAGAGGATGGAGAGAGAGAGAGAAAGAGGGAAAGCAGGCCTGTGCAGACGGCTCGGCCTGCAGGATGGAGTGGATCCCTCGTTCAGCCTCCAATTCTCTCACATCCTCAGGCAGGGAGAAGCTTCCCAACGGCTCACTGACGCGGACGTTTCATCATCTCTCAGCAACACGCTCGCACACACACACGCACAAACACACACGGCGCTGCTCCCCGCATCAGAGAGAGAGAGAGAGAGAGAGAGAGCCTTCCTCAATCTCTAGCTGATGACACACTTGAGCAGCTGCATGCTGATTGGCTGAGCAGACCCTCCAGTCAGAGCTGCTGCTGCTGACGTGTGTTCTCCTTGACTGCGAGCGCTGATGAGAAAGAGAGAGAGAACGAGCCTCCCCTCTGCTGTTTTCATTCTCTCTTTTTCCTTCTTTGTTTCTTTTGAATGTACAGTCAGGTTTCCTTTAAGCCATTGTATTTGCAGTGATCTTGTTTTCACGATGCAGTAATAAAATCATTAATCTGCAATAGTCTCAGAATACAAAATCCTCTTATATTTACAGTCAAAATCAACCATGGCGTTTTCTTAAATGCACATACATATCAGGTAAACCAATTTTTTGTAAGACATCAAGTTTAACATGAATCAATAGGATATAAAGTTGATGGCAAAATGCTTTTTTTATTCAAATACTCCCAAGTGCTGTTTGATGGAGAGAAGATGAACATTGTTAAAGCACAATAGTTTTAATAATTAATTTCTATTAACTACTTTTTTTTTTTAATAATATTTTACTAGTTATTTTGCAAGATAGTATTATAGTTTGCAGCTTAAAGTGCAATTTACAGGCTTAACTGGGTTTATTAGTTTAAAGTTAGGGTAATTACGCAAGTCATTGAACACAGTAATTTGTTTTGAAGTAAATCGAAAAAAAAAATCAAACAAGATTTAAGGGAGCTAATAAAAATGAGCCTAAAATGATAAAAATGATTAAAAAAAATGTATCTATACAATAAATAATATGATATATTAATACATACATTTTAATTCTTTAAAATTTTCTCCCAATTTCTGTTTAACAGAGAGATCCCATTTCTAAATGTGACAGTTTTAATAACTAAATTCTAATAACAGTAATTTCTTTTATCATTGCCATGATGACAGTACATAATATTTTACTAAATACACCGCAACTCTTATATTTCAAACCTGCAGGAAGCACTGTAATTGATACAGTTTTTTTTTTTCCAATGAGGGGGTGTAATAAATACATTAAAATTTTTATTAAGTGTTGTTCCCAACAAATAATAATAATAAAAAACACTGGTTTAAAAAGTATTTTGTGACACCCATATCCGTCATTAAAAACCCAGGTTTGTTTTGAATAATAACTTAGAATCAAGGTTCATTTTAGGCCTATATAAACTATAAAACATCTATGCAAATTAATGCAATACTATATGTAAAAACTAAATCATTATATACTATAGTAGCCTATAGCCCATAAAAAAGGTCAATATTGCCTTGTTGTTTCTCATCTCGCTCAGCACGCGCATTGAAGCGCAAGTGACAGATACAGAGGAAATCAAATAAAAATAATATAGGCTAGAATAAAATAATATAGCCCACTTTGCAGCTTTCTTTTAAATTATAGTAGGCCTACTGTATATAAAATAGCGCCGGAGTGTTTCTCAGTGTTTCGCAGGTAAAGTCTTTAAATTGTGTAATAATTGTACATTTTTTAAAATTTCTATAAATAAAGTGGGGAGAAAATAAATAATTAGGCCTATTTAATTATTCATTTATTATTTATGCACAGTAATTGAGACATAAAATGAGATAGTAAAATATGAATCAACAACAAAAATTTAAATTAAAACTATAAATGAAAAAGCTTTTTTATTGACTGTCTTAGTCCGATCACATTAAAATAACACTGTACATCTCTCAATATTTAGGCTAAAACACTGCTTTATTTATTTACTTATTCATTTTAGTTGTCTTTTCTTTCTTTTATTCAACTTTCCATAATGAATCCTCATTGCACTTAACAAGTTAACAATGATAATAAAGCTTGTTGACAAGTTTTTAATGATTAATGAAGAAATTATAATGCCTTGTTTGATTGTTTATCTTTATTTACAAGTAGCAGAGTATTTACAGCTACTGTACAGGCTATTTTTGTCCATTCACATTCCATCCCTTTGTGCCCCCTAGCGTTATAGTCGCCAAGGGGCACCTTCTTACACGTTCTTCAAAAAAACACGTTCTTGCTCCTTTAGAGTGGCGCCAGTACAAGGCAGGAACTAATGCTCATATTAAAGTGTCACCTACTGTATATTTCAAGATTCAGCTTAAAGTGCAGTTTAAAGGCCTAACTAGATTAATTAGGTTAACTAAGCATGTTAGGGCTATTAGGCAAGTCATTGTATAACAATTGTTTGCTCTGAAGCCATTCGAAAAAAAAATTTGCTTAATAATATTGACGTTAAATGATTAAAACAATGTAAAACTGCTTTGATTCTAGCTGATATAAAACAAATAAGACTTTCCCCAAAAGAAACAGATATCAAAGGAAAAATGACTCTCTGTTAAACATAATTTGGGAAATATTTATTAATAATTTAATAGTTAAGCTAATCATTTTGACTTCAACTGTATTGCATATTATAACTGCAAAATAGTATACAACGGGGTGTCCAATCCTGTTTAGTAGAACTGGACACCAATGGTAAATATATTCATGTAAAAAAGGTTAGGACTGCCTACTTAATTACATAGTTTGCTATATAAAGACATTTAGAATATGTTAAGAAAATTACATGGTCCTTTGCAAGCCCTGTTGACATAAAAGCCTATTATAAAAGTATTCTTTCTCCTTCTGTCATTCAATTGTTTTTACACATGACTCTTTTGTTTTCAGATTTATGTTTTGTTTTATTTATGTATTGTTTGGGTTTTCATCAAAACCTGGTTCAATTCCATGTCAACAGCTCCTTTAGAAATCTTATTTCAAAGAAAAAAACTTGACATTTTCAACACTTATTTCCCTATTTGTATGTAACAAAAATTAAGCCAAGATAGAAAAGATTGTAAAGTAGAGCTGCTCAATATTTTGTTTCAGCATTGATATTGCAATATACACATCCACAATAGTCACATCTTAGAACCTGCAATGTCCAGTCGTAATTACATTTGATCAGGTACAATAGTTGAAAGTTTGTCATGTGCATGTTTCAAGATCTGTGATTATTATTATTGTTTCAAGATTATATCTTGAAAGCATTTCAAGAAAGCTTAAAAGTACAGAAAGTTTTAACATTTGTAGCTTTATATTACAAAGATGATTAAAATTTATTGATATGATGAAGACTATACGGTGATATATAATTATTCAAGTTGTGTTAATACTATATGAATTCTCCGAAATCAGAAAAGCAGTTTATTTCATTTGCATCTTTGCTCTTTTGCATTTATCTATACTATACTATTTAACTATGCTCATTAATCTATGTAGATTTGATGGTGTGTTTGGGATCGTCATATTAGATGGACATTGGAGAGGTATTATGTTAACAAAAATCCAGACCTGTTATATCTTTTGATGATCAGTTAAAGGTATAGTTTGCCAAAAAAATATCATTCACGTATTCTTTCAGACCCTTATGAGTTCCTTTCTTTAAGAAGATATTTAGAAAACTGTTGGATACCTGTAACCACTGCAATCAATAGTATTTATTTTTCTATGGAAGTCAGTGGTTACAGTTTTTCAGCCTTCTCCGAAATGTCGTCTTTTGTGTTCAACAGAAGACAGAAACACATAACGTCTCAAATCACTTGATGGTGAGTGAATAGGCATGTGATTTGTAGTGCCTGACTTACTTTTTGCCAGTGCTATTTGCTGTTGCTCATCTGAGGTTTAAGACCTGTCAAAGATCACATCATTTTTTATGTGCTGATATAGAATAATCAGACTGTCATAGGTTGTTCCAACATTTACACATTACTGTTTATTATAGGATATACTGTATAAAACCATAATCCAAACAAATACAGTACTGTCCAAAAGTCTTCTATTTTCACAAAAAAAGGTCAAGTCAGTCGGAGATGTTGTCACAGTTCTTTTTATATTTAGCCTGATTTTTCAATACACATAATCTTGTGTATTGGTATGTGTTTTGTGTTATTTTTCCTTATGTGACTGATTATATCAACACATTAAATTGGTTATAGTAAAATTGATTATTAATTAATAGATAATTAATTTACCACTTTTTTATTTTCCAATCTTATGTCAACATTGTCTTTACAATATTTGTTCACGTTATCTCATGTAAGAATGTCTGCCTGATGTAAATAATGTTTGTTTATATATTTTATATTTATGTAAACTATATAAAGCAATTTTATTAAATTCTGGACAGTTACAAAACTGCATTATAATATGTGACGGCATAACGAAGGAAAAAAAAGATTTTAGAAGGCAAGAATCAGAGCAGATGAACAAAACAAAAACAAAATAATGACAGAATAAGTTTGCTTTAATGACCTTCAAATGTGTGGATAATAATGTAATTGAGCCCAAATAGGGGGATGAATCATTTCTTTTATGGATAAAAACTGCAAAGTAATGCTAAAGTCTCTAAAGAACCAGGCTTTTTTAATGTGTTTACCTGTCTGAGGATGAAACTGGTGGAGGTGGTGCTGCCATCAGATCTCTTCAGCCGACTGCGTCGTGAATATGTTCCCCTGTTCACCTGTAGAGGGAGAAATGACCAAATCATGAATGAATAGTCTTCATTTCTCAATCATTTACTTTTGAGAATACAATATTAGCATTCGTTTTAATGCAATCTTGCTTTTGATATTTGGTCAGAATCAGAATACAGTAAGGAGCAGAATCAGTATTGAGGATATTGGCCAAGTAGCTATAAAGGTTATGAAAAACTTACAACACATCATAAACATGGACTGAATATTCCGCTGGAAATAAGTACGCTATAACTAAACAGCACACTTAAAAGACCTATTTTTTGGAAATAGGCTCATTTTACAACTCCCTAGAGTTAAACAGTTGAGTTTTGCCAGTTTTGAATCCATTCAGCCGATCTCTGTGTCTGGCAGAAGCACTTTTAGCTTAGCTTACCATAAATCATTAAATCAGATTAGACCATTAGCATCTCACACAAAAAAATCAAAAAGAGTTTTGATAATTTTCCTATTTAAAGCTTGACTCTTCTG